GTCTACTAAGTCTGTCCCATCATCTCATTGAGGCAGGACCAAGGCACCCAGCCTTTTTTATTTTTAATAATTTATTTTTATTTTATGTGCATTGGTATTCTACCTGAATGAACATTTGTGTGAGGGTGTCAGATCTTGGAGTTACAGACAGTTGTGAGCTGCCACTGGGAATTGAACCCAAATCCTCTGGAAGAGCAGTCAGTGCTGAGCCATCTCTCCAGCTGCCTGGCCTTTTTATAATTTGTATTTGAGGCAAGGTCTTACTAAGTTGCCTACTTTATAAAGCCTTGAATTCACTCTGTAACCAAGGCTGGATTTTAGCTCCTTTTACCTCAACCTCTAAAATGCCTAGAGTTATAGGCATATGCCACCATGCTTGGTGTCAAAGTAACACCCCCACACACACTCACACACACACACACACTCATACACACACACACACACACACACACACACACACACACTGTGTGTGTATGCCACTGCGAGCTAGTGGAGTTTAGAGACAACTATTGGGAGTTACTTCTTTGATGGGGGAGGTCCTTCTGGATGCTGTGAATATATGTTTCTCTTACTAGTTTGTTAATAAATACTGATTGGCCAGTAGCCAGGCAGGGAGCAAAGGCAAGGCTACCAGACTAGGAATGCTGAGAAGAGAAAGGCAGAGAGGGGTTGCCAGAGAGATGCTATGTAGCCGCTGAAGGAGTCACATGCTGTAACATTACAGGTAAGACACAGTCCCATGGCAATACATAGTTTAATAGAAGTAGGTTAATAATTAAGAGGGAGCTAGCCAATAGAAGCCTGAGCCACTGGCCAAACAGTTTATAATTAATATAAGCCTCTGTGTGTTTATTTGGGACTAAATTGTTGTGGGACCAGGTGGGAAAGAAACTTGGTCTTCACTTCTTTCTTCCCACCATGTATGGATCCCAGGGATCAACTTCTGGTCACCAAGGTTCATGACAAGCAACTTTGCTTGCTGAATGACATCTCACTAGTCCTCAACATGACACATCTAATACCAGATCTCCTGAATCGAGCACATGTAGGGTGTCCTGTGATTTAATTCAGTTGAGTTCTGACACTGTCTACATGCAGGTTAAGGACACAGCTATATGAGACTGTCCCCTTGAAAACTCTAACTCCCAGAGTCTCACCTATCTGTTGGAGGGGGACAATACTAACACTGTCTATTTCACAGGATGGCGATGATGAATAGAAAGATCAACAACTAAGTTACTCAGAGTGAGCACCAGCTGGAGGATGGGAGGAGTCCCCTGAGGTGCTATCTCCTGAGCTCGACATGGCCACTGAACTCATGAACTCAAACAAGCTACAGTTACCAGTGCCTGACTAAGCAATGTTTCAGCATGGATGAGTGAGGGGCTCACAGGACCACCCTTCACTGGGGAGCTACTGGCTGTTGATTGCTGAGAGAAGGGAGTCTTTTTTCCACAGTATATACTCCATGTCCATGCAAGCAACCCTATTTAAATGCGATGATCCACACACAAAAGAAAAGAGGTATGAAAGTAGGAAGAAGGCATCTGATGGGAGAGAGGGGACTAGAGGAGGATGAGTATGTGTGAAAATGGTCAAAATGTAGACATATGTGAAATGGTCAAAGAATTAAAAAATAAAAACATTAAAAGCCATTAAAAATTAATTACTTGAGCCTGGTGGTGGCGGTGCATGACTTTAATCCCAGCACTCGGGAGGCAGAGACAGGAAGATTTCAGTGAGTTCCAGGACAGCCAGGTCAACAGAGAGAAATCCTGACTCAAATAACAACAACAAAAACCTAGTTACTCACAGTGATGTCTGGTACATGGTGTGTTCTCAGGAGGTTAGTGCCAGTACTTCAAGTTTGCCTGCTATAAGTTGGGGTTCCTGTGATCCCCCTCTTTTTATTCAGCCACTTTTGCTAGATTATCAGTTTCCAGGACTCCGGGAAGCACTTTTCTTATATTTCTTAGTTATTCTATAGGATGTTATAAAGGCTATGGATAATCTAGGACTGGTGTTGCTGAAGGAGTCTGTGAAGAGACACCATGACCACAGCAACTCTTAGAAAGAAAACCATTTAATTAGGGAGCTTACAGTTCAGAGGTTTAGTCCATTATCATCATGACAGGACAGGGCATCATGCAGGAAGACATGGTGCTAGAGAAGGAGCTGAGTGTGAAGGAGCTACATCTTGATCCCAAAGGCAACAGGCAGTGAACTATGTCACTGGGTGTAGCTTGAGCATATATGAGACCTCAAAACCCACTTGCACAGGGACACACTTCCTCCAACAAGGACAAACCTCCTAATAGTGCCACTCTTTATGAACTTATGAGGACCAATTACATTCAAACTACCACAGAGTCTAAGTATAATCACAAGTTTGAGGCCAGTCTGGGCTGCAGTGTAAGTTTGAGGCTAGTCTGGAATACACAGCAAGGCCCTGCCTCAGAATACAGACAAACAACAGACAAATAAAAACCAAACCAAAACAGGACTCAGGAGATGAGTCAGGGATAAAGAGTTTGCTTTTGAGTGTGAGGGCCTGAGTTCAGGTCCCCAGAACCAAGCAAACCTGGATGTGATAATGTATGTCTGTAACCCCAGAGCTCTCATAGTAAGATGGGGGAGATAGGAGATCCCCTAGAAAGCCAGCTATGGCTCTAAGCAGCAGTGAGCAAGAGACCCTGCACTGTGTGAGGCGAGGGCTGACACCTGAATTTGTCCTCTAGCCGCCATATTCATCCTGGAGGGAGGCTCATTAGATTCAGAAAGTAATGGCTCACAGGTGTCAGAAGTCCCTCGCACTTAACCAGAAGAGCTGATGCAAGCAGCAGTGAGAACCACTGAGGAGAGGAGACTCCAGTTTGTAGGTCTTGAAGAGAGTGCCTGGATTGCAGCTTTTGTGAGTTGGCACTCGGGCCAGGATGGGTAACCAGTGGTGCAGCTGCCTTTGAGTCAAATGTGCTGCTGCAATAAGTGAGCCCTCACTCATGCTGCTGCAAGTAAGTGAGCCCTCACTCATGATGCTGCAAGTAAGCCCAGAACACCTATTGGTTTGTCAAGTTGGACTTTGGTGGCATTGTTACTTTGATCTATAGCAGTTCTCTGTCTGGGGTGAGTAGATGTTTGCTCACGTCGCCCCAGGGAAAGTGTCACACACAGAGATGCACCACCTTCCTGGCACACTAATGTATTTGTCAATCTGGAAATTCTTTGCCCTCACAGTTCAATATTTTTATGGCGGTGTTTCCACACAGCATGCTTGATTATTAACTTCTTGTTCAACTCTTCTCCCCTGTTTGGAGCTTGAGGGGTGGAACAGAAGTCTAATCAATAGCTCACTTTTCCTTGTGACCAGCCTTTGACACACTCAGGAAATTCAGTGACACCCAGGAAATCCAGAGGTCTTTGGAGCTCTGTGTCAGGATTTGGGGCCAAAGACCGCCTGTTAGAACAAAAGTTGCTTCTAGGGACCAGGGACATGGTTCCTTTAGTAGAGTTATTTGTAGCATTGATGGAGTCTTGGTTTTCATCTCATACCTGCATAAACTGGGTGTGGTAGCGGTGCTCAACCACCATCCAGCACCGAGGATCTGGAGTCCAAGCTCTTCTTTAACTATATATATATATATAGTGTGTGTGTGTGTGTGTGTGTGTGTGTGTGCTTGGAATAGAACTCAGAGCCTTGTGCACCTTATCACTGAGCCATCCCAAGCCCTCAGTTAAAATCTCTTTTGGTTTCTTTTTGAGACAGTCTCATGTAGCTCAGGCTGGCCCTATACTCGCTGTGTAGGTGAGGATGCTGCTGAGCCTCTGATGCTCTTGCCTCCACTTCCTCAGTGTTGAGATTGTATATGGGTACCACCATGCTCAGTTTGTGAAGTTCTGGGGATGGAACCATCACTTCTGCCCCTGGTGTGTTTCACCTGTGTGTGTGTGTGTGTGTGTGTGTGTGTGTGTAGGTGTATATGTGTACATGTACGCATGCTCCCATATGTGTGTGCAGACCATGGATGTTGCTCCTCAGGACTCTCTCTGCCTTGGTGTTTTGTTCCTCTTAGAAAAACACAATATTTTTTTTACTAATTCTTTGAGAATTCCATACAAAGATACAATGTATTTTGATCATATTCACCCCCATCTCTTCTCTTTAACTTCTTCAAGACCCATCCTCTCCACTACCCCCCTCGACATTCTTTCCCTTTTCCTTTTTTAAAAATTTGTATTTTCTGAGTTTCTTTGTTATCAAAAATAACAAAGAATTAAGAAATTGTGGCTGGGAACCTCAGCACAGACCTCTAATCCCAGGACTCAGAGGGCAGAGGCAGGCAGATCTCTATGAGATAAAGGACAGTCTGGTCTACATAGCAAGTTCCAGCCCTTCTATTGCAACATAGTGAGACCCTGCCTTGAAAAATTATTAACGGATGTGTGTGTGTGTGTGTGTGTGTGTGTGTGTGTGTGTGTGTGTGTCACAGTACATGTGTAGAAGTCAGAGGGCAACTTTCAGGAGTCAGTTCTCTCCTTTCACCATGAGGGTCCTGGAACTCAAACTCAGGCCATCAAGCTGGATGGCAAGTGCCTTCTCTCTGAGCCATCTCACCAGCTACCCCTAGTCCTGAATTTTATTGAGATGGGGGTCTCTCATTTGGCCAAGGTATCACCAATTATGTTAGACTGGCCACTGAACCCCTGCCCTGCCTCCTCAGTGCTAGGATTGCAGGGCATGCCACCTGCCACTGTACCTTTTTTTTTTTTTATTAAGTGTGGGTCCTAGGGATCAAGTTCAGATCCTCATGATTGTTTTGCAAACACTTTACCAACTGAGTCATCTCTCTAGCCCTATTTTTTTGTGTTTGAGACAGTGATTCAGTTGTATAGGCTGGCCTTCATCTTGGGACCCTGATGCCTCAGGTTCTGTATATGGAAGTTTCTCAGTGGTAGAGTGCTTGCCTAGAATCTTTAAAGTAAAGCTATGGGTTCAGTTCCCACTACTACCCAAACAGCAACACAGCAACATAAACACACACAGAAAACAAAACTCCCAAAAAACGTTTTCTTTGTAGAGAGCACCTTTGGTAGTTTGGAGCCAGGTTTCTGAATGTAGTGTCAGGAAACACACAGATACTGCCCTCAAAAAACAAAAAACAAATGAACAACAGCAACAACAACCCCACTCCCCCTCCCCCAAAACAACCAAAAAACAAAAACTTCAGGCCCTAGCCTGTGCAATATGTGGCGATCTCAGGAGGCGCCCATATTTTGCTAAACCTCAGTGAGCATGTGATAATACTGCTTTCCTTGGCTAGCTTGCTGGGGACCCTCAAGCTGCAGAGAGTTCATTATTGTGGTGCATATTCCAGCCATTGAGTCAGAGCCAGGTGCAGTGATTGACAGCATAGCTGCTGGGGCAGCTGCCTGATCCTGGCCATGTTGCTTAACTTCTCTGAGCATCAGTTGTTCCATCCGTCAAATGGGGATTCTGTGAATACTTGCTATTCTGCAGAGCTTCAAGACAGAAGCAAACAAGTGAACACCTGAAAAACCATCAGGGCCCTGAAAGGCTGCCGCTATCAGCCTAGTTTGGGGTTTGTATAAACGGAGTTTTCTCTCTCCCACCCTGTCCTGGAGCTGCTTTCAAATAATCACTCAGAGGCTTAATATTAATTACAAAATATTTGGTCTATATCTCAGGTTTATTATTAACTAGCCTTTACAGTTAAATTAACCCATTTTTATTAGTCTATGTATTGCCACTTGGTCGTGGCTTTACCAGTTCTGCTGGAATCTCTCTTGATTCTGCCCTTCTTTCTCCCTGTCTCTCCATTTGGCTTTCCTGCCTCACTTTATTCTGGCTGGCTATAGGCTGATTTAGTTTTCATTATCAACCAATGAGAGCAACACATATTCATAGTGTATGGAAGGATCATTCCACAGCATTTCCCCTTTTCTGTCTAATCAAAAGGAAGGTTTTAACTTTAACATAGTAAAATTACAGTGTTATATGAAGGCTTGTGAAAAAAGAAAGAGCCATACAGTCATAGCTTAAAAATATAGTTAAAAAAAACCAAAAATATAGTTTTAAAATAATAAAGTTCTTAAAAAGAAAATAAAGTAATATAAAGAAAATAATCCACGTAAAGATGATACATGGAGAGTCTGGATACTGTATGTTATTGTGTTGTCTTTAAACTGTTTAACTGCTAAGAAAGGAACAAAAACTGCTAAGAGACATTTGCTTATAAATGCTGCTGGATTAAACCAACCTACATATTTTAAAAATGCCTCAACTTTAAAATGGAAGTCAAAAGGTATGTTACTTTGGGGGAGAGGTTACACTTTTGTTTCCACAGGAAATGAGAGGCTCTGGATTTATTCTGAAGAATCAGGAAGAAAAATCAGGAAGACCCCCTGAAATCTTGAGTATAGATATAGGAAAATGAACCTAAAGTAACTACAAGACATGTGATGTATATTTTACCTGCTCAAACATAAAACAAAAAATTATCCTTGGCTGGCTTGTGTACAATGCACAGTTTATATTTATATCAACACAATACAGCAAAGGGACAGGCACGAATAAAAATGATGGCCCAAGCGGTCCAATATCTAGAACAGCTTCCAGGCTGCTGACTGAGATGATCCAGCCTTACAGAATACTCTAGCTAAGACTGGACAATTATCCTGATTTTCTCAGGGTCCCTAAAGGTCACCAACACCCACCAATCAACAGGAAATAGTCTAGAAAACTATGCCCAAATTCCCAAAATATTGTTTATCAATGTTTGTTTTCATTTAAGGAGGGTTGGTTATAAATTGTTATTGATCATAGTCAATCTCTGTCTAAAAGAAGAAAGGGAGAGACATATAAAAATGACAGGATAAAAGGATAGATCACTGAATCTACTTTTAAACCAAAAAAGCAACAACTAGTCTTAAATATTTTACATTGGTATGGATTTTCATATAGTGAAACAAATTTGAGGTTATTTTTGTTGTATTGGGTACATATTTCCACTCTTGTTTAAGATTTTGTATGTTGATATAAATTTCAAGTTATTTTTATTAGAATCTACTCTACCGATGTTTCTACTCTTGTTTAAGGTGTTGTTCTCATACAGCTTATTTAACAATCTAATGTAAATTTCTAGTCCTTGAAAGTTAATATTACAAACTATTCAGGATAATATAGAAATGCAGGTTAGTCATTAGTCACCTATTACAATGAAATATATAGTCATGTTAGGTATGTTTTCAAGATCAAACTGAGATATATTTTAGATAGACAGGTAGTCTTCAAACACTTCAGAGATCTACAGAATATGGTATTTAAAATGTTTTTAATAACATAGGTATTTTTTTATGACAATGAGACATGTCTGCTCCTATCAGCACCAATCTACCACAGAGAAGATGATGGGCATTGAAGAAACTCCATATGGAGTTTACCTACTTTGTGGCAAAAAGTAAGCCACTGGGCAAGAAATTGCCCTTGCCTCAACTGCTGACAGTATGCTGTCCAAATTGGACAAGCAGGACACAAAAGAAAGTGAGTGCTGAATTTTGCAAGACAAGGCAGGACAGTTCCTCAGAATATCCTGGTTCACAGAAAAGTCTGTCAGATATGCTAGGCCTATAGGCCAAAGATGGATTCCCCAACGTTGCAGAGGAAACTTGGGTGACTGTCCAGGCAGCCAGCTGTTTCTGTCATTTCTCCCATTTTTTGGAAGTCATTTGCTTGTACTTCCAGCTTACTCAGATAATATCATATCCTTCTCAGGTTTACTATGGAGTCGAAGCTAGGTAGTTATAGTTTTTGTTGTTAACAAATTCAGAAAAGAAACTCACAAAGACAGACTTTGATGATCCCCTGTGGAAGCCCTCACTGTCCTTGGGCAGTGAGTAGGGGGTGGGTTGGAGGGAGTCAGTGGGGGTCATGGGAGGATGGGAGGTGGAGGGGATGGGAGGATTGATATGTAAAATAAGATTGTTTCTAAAATGAAAATTAAAAAGAGAAACTTAAAAAGGGATGTAAATTGTATAAGGTTGAGAGACATAAAAATAGTTTTGGGATGGTAATATGAGTTAGGATGGAAAGTGCATTAATCCAACACTTTGGACCACTAAGTTAGGGTAGATAATGGAGTATTTTCTCTGAATTTGTCAAATGCATATGGACTAGACATTGGTAATATCACCATTGCCTGTTTATATTGGTATATAGTTATTGTACTTATTGTATATAGTTTTATTATGTTAGTTAAAACCTGTTTTTTTATTTAGACAAAAAGGGGAAATGTTGTATGACATTTTGTTTGTATTCTGTCAAATAATGCTTGCTTGGAGTCAGAGGGCAGAGCTAGCAGCCACTAGTTAACCATAGCGGTCTGAAGGACTGTACAGAGAGATAGGGAGTGATATGGCAGAGAGCAGATCTCAACCCTTCCGGTCGGAGGAATCACAAAGGTAGGAATTCACTGGTGGCTGCTCCTGGTTCTCTGATCTTCCAGGTTTTTATTTTGATATTTGACTCCTGATTTTTTTTATTGATTAAGATTAATTAGATTAACGCTTCAGGTTTGTGCCAAATGTACAGGTGTGATGGTCCCTTGATACACTCTCTTCCCCACATCCTGAGACAAAGAACCTTTTAGCCAAAGGCCAGGTACTCCTGGGGCTACCAAGACCAGCTTGGGTCCTCCAGCTTGCCCAGGCAGCGGTCCTGTGTGTGTGTCTGTGTGGCTTTTGTAGGAGGAGATAGCATCTACTTATTTGAGAACACATAGGCAGATTTAACCCCGCCCCCCAGGACTTTATTGTATCTTCAGTTTCAATAGAAAAGTGTCTTTAGAACCCTAGCCCAGGCTTTGGGGAATGGTTGTCAAGATGTAGGGGACAAGGTTTCCCATTTTCATTCTCCAAGGGATGATCCCCACACCCACCCTAGACACCATTCCAATGTCCTACCAACACCCTTGGCAAGTCATAGTGCAGCCTGAAGTTTAAGCTTGAGGATGACAAGGAGCAGTGAACACAAGGGGTCTCTCCTGCTGACCCTGGCTCTGGGGTGGAGGGATGAATGCTGAGCCTTCTAGCTGAGTCCAGGAGAGGCGTAGGTGCTGGGAGCCCCCTGGGTATGCATAGGCTGGGTTCATCTGAGGTCATAGTGTAATTAATATTCTGCTCTTCCTGAGTTTTGAGGTTCAACTTGGTCAGCCATTGCCCCAGAAATCAATTCTAGCCAGTTCCAGAATCTTTACTTTCAGATGCCATGGGAACTCTAGGCCCATAGAAGCTTCTTTCTGCTAGAGCAGCTGTAATTGGACTGTTAGCCGCAAGGCTCGGGTTGCTGGCTCTAGCTGGCCCTGAGATCCTGCTATACTCACCACCTCCAGCTGATATTTGCCAGGTCTTGGTCTCCTACGGCCCAGCTGCAGGGAGCTGAAGCCGTCCAGGTGACTCATGCGGAAGAAACCTCGGTTGTTGCCTCTGGCAATAATGTAACGCATCTGGCGTTCCAGACTCCCAAGAGCTGGTCGAAATTCTAAGATATGCTTGACTTGGCTCAGGTGTGAGATGTGCAGACGCAAGGTCAAGGGGACTTCCGCATCAAGGGTGGCCAGGCTCACCTGGGGGAAGGGACCAAATGAACTGTCAGAAACTGTAAATAAAGATGCAAGCCTGGCTTCTTTGTCTAGCTATCTTCATACAAGGCCGAGATCAGCTAAGGCTGAGGACTTAACAGTAAAGGCCAAATCTGGTTCTTTGATGGAAATGCAAAACAAAGCAAAACAAGAAACCCAAGAGGAGAGAGACTAAGGAGATGGCTCAGTTAATAAAGTGTCTGCTGTGCAAGCATAGGGATTTAAGTTTGGATCCCCAGCACCCACGTAGAAAGCTAGGTATGGTGGCCTAAAGTCTCACTGGAAGGCAGGGGGAGGAGGATCCCAGGGGCTTGCTGTCCAGTGGTATAGACAAATGGTGAGCTCCAGGTTTAGTGAGAGACCCTGTCTCAAATTAGTGGAGCTGGGTTTACAAGGTGGCTCAGTAGGTACAGGACCTTGCCATCAAACCGGAGGACCCAAGTTTGATTCCCTAGAACCACATGGAGAAGGAGAGAGAATTAGTTCCTACCAAGTCTTCACTGACTTCCATACCCATGTCTTGTGTATGAATGCATACACACACAATCACTACCATCTCCAAATAAATATATTAAAATAAAAAAGGTGGAGAAAAATTGTAAGACAGTGGTGTTGACGTCTTTTCTCCAGTTGTGGCATACTAGAGCATATATATGCATCTCTCTCTCTCTTTCTCTCTCTCTCTCTCTCTCTCTCACTCTCTCTCCCTCTCTCTCTCTCTTTCTCTCTCTCTCTCTCTCTCTCTCCCTCTCTCTCTCTCTTTCTCTCTCTCTCTCTCTCTCTGTGTGTGTACGCACACTCGTGTGTGAGAGAGACATATATAGACACACATGCACACACAGACACCTACAGATACAAACATACCAAAAACAAAATAAAAAAGCAACAGGTAGGGGAATCAAAGATTTGCTTTGAAAACCCAGCAAACAGGTCAGGCAGGTAACATCTGGCTCTGGAGCCTTACGGTGGTTCAGAGGCAGCCTAGGTGACTGATGTTATAACCAAGGGCCTTTTTGGAAAAACAAAACAAAACAAACAAAAACTACATCTCCAAAATGATGCCAGAATCATTTATAGATATAAACAGAGTACCCAGCTAGGACAGAAAGAGCAAGGAGAGGCCCCAGAAGAGCCTTCCGTTGGCTTCCACTGTACTTCCTGTATCTGGCTCTCTCTGAGCAGACCCTGTGTACAGATGACAAGCCCTTCTTTATTTGAGCTCTTCTGAAGTGCCTTCATGATCTTGGCAGCAGGACAGTACCCTCAGTAAGCCAATTGGCCTCAATGACAGGCCACCCTAGGCTGGGTGATAAATCTGATTCCACAAAGGGTTATCTGTGTTTATCCCCCTACCCCCATGGGTTGTGCCGTGTCTGTTTCACTTCATTTACATGCCTGTGGAGTGATCTGCTATTACGTTTGAGAGAAAGCTATTTCAGCCTCTCTGCCCTTGGTTCTGGGAAATCTTTCCTTTCTGAGCAGAGTGGCTCAGACATATGCTTTTATTGACACCTCCTGGCAAACAGTGGTATTACAGGCAAATACACTGCAATACCCTCCACAGCATGCTGTGTCCAGCCCAGGGTCCTTGGCAACAATTCCACTCCCCTTGGAAACGAAGGACCATGGGTGGGAAGTGGGGAGGTGGGAGGGTGGGAGAAGGAGAGGGAAAGGGAACTGGAGTTGGTATGGAAAATGAAAAATATTTTAATAAAAAAAAGAAAACCAAGGGCTGGCAATACAGCCACAAATAGTAAATGTGGGATAATTGCTACATGGAAAGTTTTTTCCTAAACAAAGGAAAAACCAACTGAAGAAAACAGAAGATAAAGTAATCCATACCCTATTAGTTAGCTGCATGTTGAACATCTCTCAGACCTAACATACCCACCCCACTCTGGCTTTATTTCTCTTTGTAACATGGATCATTTTTTTTCATGTTATAAAGCATGCAATGTTTTACTTAATGACTTCTTTTTCCCCCATTGGAGAATCAAGGGGCAGGGTTTTTTTCTCCCCCTGTTTGCTTATTACAGATTGCTCAGGATCTGTCTAGTAGGGGCCTTAACTGCACAGGAATGAGGTAAGTGCCTAAGGATGTATTCCCGGAAAAGTCCTGGGCACCATGATATGAGGGAGAAGTTGAGACATGTAGTCTGATGGTTGCCTGCCTTTCTCTTCCCTTTTTTGAGGCAGAGTCACATGTAGCCTAGGATAATATCAATATCAAATGTATTAAAGAGCTGAGGATGTCTAGTTTTATGCAGTGCTGAGGTTTGAACCCTGAACCTCATGCATGCATGCTAGGCAAGTAATTCTTTTAAAAGATTTTATTTATGTATTATGTATACAGTCTTCTGTCTGCATGCCAGCAGAGGGTACCAGATCTCATTCAAGGTGGTTGTGAGCCACCATGTGCTTGCCAGGAATTGAACTCAGGACCTCTGGAAGAGCAGTCAGTGCTCTTAACCGCTGAACCATCTCTCCAGCCTGCTAGGCAAGTAATTTACCAGTTAAGCACATTCTTAGACCTCGTATTCCCTCTTGAGGGATCACAGCCTCCTTCAGACTCCCTCAGAGAGCACCGTAGTTGGCCCACCCAGTGTGATCCCCATGGCACCTGATGGCCTCCACTGGCGCTGCGTCTAGGTCGGTCCTGAGGTGAGAGGCCGTTGATCTTGCATTCATAGCAGGCTTCAGGTGAGAGCGACTCTTCCTCATCTGGGGTGGCCTGAGATCCAGAGTTGATACCAGGGCTGGAAATGCAGTGTCTGAGCCAGATGGTATGAGAAAAACTTTCAGAAGCAGGCTGGTAGAACCTCCCCCAACATCTCCCATCACAGCCCATTCTGAGCCATGGGCAGAGACACCATCATGCAAATGTGTGTGTGTGTGTGTTGGCATGGCTGTGTGGAGGGTTGTGTGTGTCCCTTGGTTTACCTGGGTATTGGTATGAACACAAGAATAGGATGATATAGAATGGTATAGAAGAATGTATCTGTGTATATCCAGAAACATGTATACTTGGGGGCCTACATGTATGTATGGAAGATGGTGCACACACACACCTGTGTCCACTGGGATGAGTGTGCTTTCAATGTGAATAAAGAAAGCACCCCCTTGTGCAAAACACAGTCTACCCTCTGTATCCACAGGTTCTGCACTGTCACATTCAACTGGTTATCCAAGGACTGAAGATGCTTACAGTGTTGTGATCTTTTACGTAGTTAGGCCTGTCTTAGTTAACTCCCTACTGAACATTTAGAGACTTTTTCTTTGTTAATATCCCCTTAATAAAACAGTGAAACAATTACACATGCTGTTTTATATTGTATTAGGTGTCATAAATTATGTGGAGATAATTATTTATTTTCAAGATAGGGTCTCATGTAACCCAGGCTAACCTCAAACTTGCTATATAGCAGAGGATGACCTTAAGTTCCTGCTCCTCCTGCATGTACCTTCCAAGCACTGGGATTATAGGCATGTGCCTCCGTGACTGGTGGACACAATCTGAGGATCAAACTCAGGACTTGGTACATCCTAGGCAAGCATTCTACCCACCTAGTGACACCCCCAGCCTGCAATGATTTAAAGTAAATGGAAGAATGTGTGCAGGTTCTGTGCAAACACCATGTCATTTTATATAAGGGACTAGAACATCCTTGAATTTGGGTATCCATGAGATGGAGGTGGTGTTATTGTATAGCAATTTTCTGGTGTTGATAAAGCATTCTGTCCTTGAGGAAGGTTCCACAAGACACAGGAAATAAGCAACACATAATTTTCAGGAGCTCCCTAAAACTTACTAGATGCATAAGACGCCCACCCCTATCATGGTTATGTAAGCAGCAAGGAAAACTGAGGAGACTCTCCTTCCTGTTAAGGTGCCTGCAAATCTAGCAGTGAGCTCCAAGATCACAGATTCCCTGAGTCATTACCCATGTTGGGTGGGCCTGCTTTCTTTCTTTTAGGAATATTTATTTATGTGTTATATGTGTAAGGGTGTTTTGTCTGTCTGTATGTCTGAACACCAGAAGAGGGAATCGGATCCTGTGGCACTACACTTATAGATGGTTGTGAGCCACCATTTGGAGGCTGGGAATTAAACTTAGCACCTCGGGAAGACAGCAGTCAGTACATTTATTTGCTGAGCCATCCCTCCAGCCCATGGGCTTTCATTGATGCAGCTGCCTTTGGGTCATCTATGTTTCTGTAGATAACTTCTCACCCACAGTCCTCCAAGTAACCCATTGGTTAGTAGTAAACTCAGTGGTTCACAAGTTGGAATTTAATTGAATCCTTACTCTAATTTTTTGTAGGTTCCATATCTGGGGTGAGTAGATGTTTGTTCGTGTCTCCCAAGAATCATGTCACATAATAGGGGTAAGGGAAGCAATCTTCCCTGGATATGCCGCAAGGACTTTATTTGTGTGTGTGAGGGTTCATATGTGTTTATTCATGAGTGATAACTTGGATCATGAATGGCCCACAAATATCTCCAGGTAGTGGGCACACACAAGCCTGAATGAAAAATGGAATAATGACACAGACATGTACTCATGTATTTTGACATTTAGGGATGACTGGCTGTACTGGGCTAGAGGTGTGCACAGATACTCCCTGTGACCAATTCTCTGTGTGTGTATGTAAGCATCTATATACATAGTCAGATGGAGCTTTGCTAATGGATTCTGTGTGTATATGAGCCCAATGTTCATGATCAGGGCATGAATAATGTACTCACTACACTCTTGCTCATCCTACTTGAGCCTCTTACCCTTGTCCAGCCCGGAAGTAGCCTTGGGGACAGCCACACAAGAAGCCACCGGGTGTGTTGGCACAGCCATAGCTGCAGGGGCTGCCTTGCTCTGCACACTCATCCACATCCTGGCAACCTCCAAGGTCCTGGTTGAAACTGAAACCAGAGGGGCAGACACAGCGGAAACTGCCAAGTGTATTGTAGCAAGAGGCACTACCACAAGGTGTGGGTGACAAGGCACACTCATTTTCATCTGTAGGCAGAGAGAAAAGGAGGAACAGAATGGAAGAAACCTTGTATGCCTGGAGCCATTCACACAAATACACACCACTCTAGTCTGCACCCATGGCAGACTAGATTACTAATCAATCACAGTACTCTTTACTATGTAAAGCTTCCAGTAAACTCATTAGGAGTTCTCAAACTATATCTGCCTTCCTTCAGCCACTGATTATTATACTCTGGGTCCCTACAGCATTTCTCAATATTTCCCCTGTGTCCTTAGTGGTAGGTTATTCTAGAACAAGCTTTTTCATGTGGGGCCAGGTCATTCTGTGGTAGGATTGAGTGCTGTTGGATATTGAGCAGCATCCTTGGACTCTGCCTATGATACTAGGAGCACCTCATGCCCTACTTTCTGTATTCACAATAAGCAATACTGATCAACCACAGTACGCCTTACTGTGCAAAGTTTCCAGTAAGCTTGTCAGAGGCCCCCAGACTGTCTGTCCTCCTCTACCCTCTGTCTATCATCTTCCCTCACAACTCCCAGGCTCTGCTGCAAAGCCTGTGAGAGCTGAGAAGTCACAGGTCTCAGGAGAGCAAGAGGACTCCTCAACGGCAGAGGGTAAAAGCTAATATACACGTATGCCTGGAATACAGTTAATAAGAAAAAGAGGTCATGGATTTGGAAGAGAGAGAAAGGAAGGGTGTATGGGAGGGTTTGGAGGAAGGAAAGGGATGAGAGAAATAACGCAATTATATTATAATCTCAAAAATAAAAGAAAAAACTCTATGGGAGAGATGTTGAAAGTGATAGAGATGAGGCAGTCGAAAGGAATTCTCAGGGCAGCAAAAATATGGAGAGAATTGTGATACAGAAGGCGAGCTCTCTAACTCGAGAGCCTCTGAAATTGCTATGACAAAGATGCAAAGACACAGCATGTGTGTCTTTAGGGGCATGGCTATACTCATGGCAGACATGACTAATCAACCACATTATTCTTTTGCACCTATGGAAAGCATTGCCAAATTTTTCTGCTCTGCCTGTGGCAGATTGATTGCTAATCAATCACATTCTTTCTGTTGCATGCTTGGTAGACATTGTTAATCAACCCCAGTCTTTTGGTGCAACACTTTTTCTGGGTAGTCAGGCCACCACTCTGTAACAAATGGATTTGAACACTGTGCCATGTTTGTTCAGCAGTCGAGTGATGTCCCAGTGGTCAAACCTTTTGGGCTGGCCCATTTGATTTATAGATGGGTCAGCTTGTCACAACACCTGCAGGGGAAATGGCTCCTACTTGTCTGCTCTGGAAAGAGTCTGGTGGGTGCTTAGCTTCCTCCCAGCCCTTGCCACTCACCCACACACTGGGCCCACTGGGAATGCTGGGTGAAGCCTTGGGGACAGTTGCAGCGGTAGCCCCCCAGCTCATTTTGACAGCCAAACTGGCAGTGATGGGGCCTGTCACATTCATTTACATCTAAGACACAGAGAAAGAAAAAGAAGGAGAGAAGATTGGTGAGTGGTTCTTGGGATCATCCCCCTGGCTGGGAACCCACTCAAGCTCCACTTCACCTTCACAGCTGTGGCCAGAGCTGTCCAGGATGAAGCCTCTATTACACTCACAGTGGAAGCTGCCTGGGGTGTTCTGGCAGTGTCCATGGGTGCCACATAGGCCAGGTTGGGCCAAGCACTCTTCATTATCTATAGAAGACAGAGAATGGGCAGGGTTGCTTTGTGGTTAGGGGATGACACTACACTGTGTGGCTTCAGAAGAGTCACTCCCCCCTCTCTGTGCTGGTCTCTTCCTTTGTGAAATGAGGTACAAATTGTTCCTAGCACACAGAATGGCAGCCAGTGTTTGTGGTCCTGCATGGAAAGTGCTTTGCTTGAAATTCAAAGCTATGTAACCCGGGGTTATTGACTCCTCCAGGCTCCTCAGTTACAACAGAGAAAACAATTACTTGTCTTTGCTTTGTAGCATGAGAATTCAGTGGATTTAACCATGTGAGAATTTAGGACGGTTCCAGCTATGAGAATCAGACATTACCAAAACCGGGCTGAGGATGTGGCTTAGTGGTTGCATGTCCTCCTGACATCTGAATGCTGTTTTTAAAGAGTTAACAAGCCCATATGCAGTCAGATGTGCTTACACAGGCCCATAATCTCAGCTACTTAGGGGCCTGAGGCAGGAGAACCACAAGTTTAAGGTTATCGAGGTCAATTTAGTGAGACCCTGTCTCAAAACAAAAAGTAAAACAAGGGGCTGGGCAGCTAGCTCAGTCAGTTAAGTGTTTCCGTGCAAGCATGAGAACCTGAGTTCAGGCTTCAGAAGCAGACTTGGTATTTGTCATCTCCCACTGAGGCTGGTCGTCCCTGGGGGATGGGCAGCCAGTTCATCCTAATCAATGAGCTCCAGAGCCTAATGAGAGACCCTGACTCAAAAAAGTGGGAGAGGGTGGAGCTGGAGAAAGGGCTCAGTGCTTAAGAGTCGTTTTGGCTGTTTTCCTAGAGGATCCTTGTTCAACTTCCCAAGCCCACATGGTGGATAACAAAAGTCGATAACTCCAGACCCACGGGATTTCCCGCCTGTGGCTCCTGCAAGCACTGCATGCATGTGACACACATACATGCATACATATATACAGGCAAAATATCCATACTCATAAACTAAAAATAAGTAAAATCTCAGACCAGGAGCTATGACACATGCCTTTAATGCCAGCACTCAGGAGACAAAGGCAGGCAGACCAAGTTCCAGCACAGCCAGGACCAGGGCTAGGCAGCGAAAACCCTTTCTTGGACAAAAACAAACAAACAAACAAACAAAAACCCAAAACCAACCAACCAACCAAACAAAAAAACCAAAACCCAAAACAAACCAAAACAGACAAACAAACCAACAAAAAACAAAAGCAGAAGTAAAATCTCAATCAAAACTCCAACAAGTTAGGTGTGTGTGTGTGTGTGTGTGTGTGTGTGTGTGTGTGTGTGTGTGTGTGTAAAGATTGCTCAGTGAGTTAAAATACTATAAGAAAAGAGAAGAAAAAGTTGGGCATGGGTGGTAGTAGTCCCTAGCCAGCCCAGCCTCTTTGGTGAACTACAGGTCAGCATGACACTGTTATCCTAAAAAAAATGGGGATGGCATAGGCGAGATGACCAAGCTGGTAAAGGTGCTTGCTGCCAAGCTTGAGTAACTGAGTTCCATCTCCTGGACCCCATGGTGGAAAGAGAGAACCGATGCCTAAAGGTTGTCCTTTGACCTCCACACTGCCATGAAAACACACACACACACACACACACACACACACACACACACACACACACACACACACCTCTGCACACAGAATAAATGTTAAAAAGAAATTAAAAACAATTGTTAAAAATAAATGTTAAAAAGAAAATGAAAAAAAAGAAGAGACATCAGCAGACAGGAATCTTGTTTGTCTGCATGTCTGTCTGTCTGTCTGTCAGAACACCCTAAATCTTGGCCATGTGAGGCTGCAAGAAGGTGACTGGCTACAAGCTGGGGATGGAGCTCTCACCAGGAACCAGCTGTGCTGGCACCTGGATCTTGGGCTTCTACTCTCTAAAACTTTGCAACAGTAAATCTTTAGTGTCTGTTTTGAATTTTTATTTTTCCATTTGTGTGTGGTATGGTTACATGCACGTGTGTTTTTGTGTGTGTGTACACGTGCACACAAGTATACACAAGTGCTCATGGAAGCTCATAGCTGACGTCAGCAGTCATCCTCAGTCTCCCTTTTGCCTTGTACACTGAGACAGGCAGGGCCACTCAATCAAACCAGAGCTCCCTGATCTGGTTAGTCTTCCTAGCCAGCTTGCTCTGAGGATTTCATGTCTTTGCTTTCCTAGGCTGGAATAACAGGCAGCCACCATGCTCTTTGGCATTTATGTGGATTTTGGGCATCAGAACTCCAGTTCATATGCTTGCATAGCAATCTCTTTACTCAACCCTAATGTATTATTTTTAAAAAAATTGTGTGTGTGTGTGTGTGTGTGTGTGTGTGTGTGTGTGTGTGTGTGTGGTGTGTGTGTGCTTCTGTGTGCATGTAAAGGCCAGAGGTTGACATCAGGTTTCTTCCTTAGTCACTCCACCTTTTTGTTGAGAGTTTCTTACTGAACTTGGAGCTTATTGATTTGGCTGGACTGGTTGACCCTGGGATTCTGCTTTCTGTACCTCCCCAGAAGTGCCTGGCTTTTGTTGTGGATGATAGGAATCTGAACTCAACTCCTCATAGCTTGAGCAGCAAGCACTTTTTACAGACTAGCCCATCAGTTCCAAGCCCATTTGTTCATCAACCTAATAGTCTATGAACATCATTACTACAGGCGGTGCTGGCTAAGAGGGTTGTGGGAGGGGACTGAGTGTTCGCCTTGGCTGGGCTGGGTAGAAGGAGTTCTAGCTCCCTCAGGCCCACAGGATGCTAAGAGGCTATGGCAGACAGCTTTGTGACTTTGGCTTTTGAACTACTTTCTCCAGAGTGGTTGTTAAACTCCTGGAGTTTGGGGAACACCTTGGGCAAGCTCAATAAGAGAGACCCAGCAGGGATGGATCATGGGCAAGAGGAGAAGTCCTGGGCCCAGGCCAGAGGGATTTCTAAGGGTAGGCTTCCATCTCCCTAGGGTAATGAAGAAGATTCTAGATGCCACCAAGATGTGAGTATCCAGGGACTGTGTTCTAATCATCCCATGCCCTCCATGCATGACACATGAGTAGTGCTTGATTTCCTTTGTACCACACACATGTGAAGGCTAGGGTTGTCAGGTTGTGTGGGGAGTGGGGTAGGGACTAGATAACACAACTCACCAAAGCAAGCCTGGTGGTGCTGGGTGAAGCCAGGAGGACAGCGGCAGGTGAAGGTGCCTATGGTGTTGACACAGAGGAACTGGCAGTTGTGTTGCCTGGAGGTGCACTCATCCAGGTCTGCAACACAGGGGGATCCAAGGGTTCAGTGGACAGGGATCAAGGGGTGCTCAAGGGTGGAGCTTAGCCAGAGGACTTGAAGGCTAAGGGGGCAGTACTCAGAGGAGCATGGGGAGGGCGCTGAGGAGACAGGCTTGAGGGTGTGTGGACATGGCGTGGGTTTAGAGTATGGTTTGAGAGGAAGTTTCAGAGGCTGGGCTTGAGGGTATAAGATTCAAGGGCTAGCTTGAGGAGGGTGCTCAAAGATGAGGCTATAAGGGACTGGCTAAGAGGCAGGGTTCAGAGGGGGTTTGAAAGATGTAGCTCAACGGTGGGTTTGAGTGTAATGTATAGAATGGGGTATAGGTTTGAGTGCTTGGTTGCTTAGCAGGTAGGTTTGAGAGGTGATGACTCAAGGACCAACCATGAGTGGAGCTTAAGAGCCCTGGCTCAGGTGTGGGACCTGGGATCATTCTTGACACTCCAATTAGGGTGCTCTTGCCACTGGTGGAGGGACAAGAGACATACTTTGGCTGTGGTGGGGTCTATGGAGCTGAGAGTGTCTGGAGAGCAACAGTGGACAGAGAAGATGGAGGGAAGGAAGGACATCACCTTTGCAGGTTCTGAGATCTTCCTCCAGCAGGTAGCCCCGGGGGCAGGCGCACAGAAAGGTGCCCTCTGTGTTTTTGCAGAGGAAGGAACATGGCTTGGGGTCCTGGCTGCACTCGTCCACATCTAGGTGGGAGGGTGGGGTAGGAGAGGATCTCATAGACATGCCCAGGGCTTGTCTGGGGGCCTCACAGACTAGAACCCCTGCTTAGATTCTGATTATCTGAAATTGTGGAACTACCTAAGTCATTTAATTTTTACTATTAAACTTAATAAAGTTTACTTGTTTATTTTCATGAGACAAAGTCTCACTGGGTAGCCCAGGGTGGCCTGGAACTCACAGAGATCCACCTGCCTCTGCCTCCTCAGTGCTGGGATTAAAGGTGTGGGACACCATGCCGGTCCCTAAATTTTCTTTTCTATTTTTTTTACCCAGTCTCTAGCCCCCAAAATTTTAATGACTTTTACTTATTGTGTGTGTATATGAGGGGGGGCACACATATTTGGCAAGTGTGCACATAGAGGTCAGAGGACAACTTGCAGGAGTTAGCTCTCACCTCTATCATTTGGGTCCCAGGTTTTGAACTCAGGTAGGTAGGTTTGGTGGCAAGCATCTTTATGCACTAAGGCATCTCAGTGGCCCTGTTTTCTATTTTTATGCAGTGTTGGCAATCAAACCCAGTCTTTATGTTTGCACATGACAGGAAAGGGCTCCACACCCCACCCACACTTTTTCAATAAAAAGCCAAATAGTAAATAGGGCATATGTGGGCTCAACAATTGAATTTTTTTTTTCCGGGGGAAAAGTGTCTGTACTGAGCATTCAGACTACTTCATGTTTCCCAAATAGTGTACGTCACAACTGTTACACTGTATTAGACTAATACATTAATACTGAACTGACACAGTGCACTAGAGTCTATGTTACATTGCAATCAATAGAGATGAGAAATCATATAGAAATGATACTTTTATTTAAAATGAAAAAAATTTGTGTGTGTGTTTGCATGGATGTTTTGCCTGCATGTATGTATGTTTATACCTCCTGTGTGCCAGGTGCCTGGGAGGTCAGAAAACAGTGTTGGCTCTCCTTGGACTGAGTTACAGAGAGTGGAGAGCTGACATATGGGTGGTGCTGGGACCCAAACTCTACAAGAGCAGCTGGCGCTCTTAACTGCTAAGCTATCTCCCCAGTCTCTATTTTATTTTAGAAACAGGGTTTCAATATGTAGCAGAGGCTGGCCTAGAATTCACAAAGTAGGAAAGCTTGTAGCTCACTGCAAGCTTCCTGCCTCAGCCTTCCAGTGGGAAGGAGATAAGAGAACTAGGTGAGTGTAATTGGAATGTATATAAAATGTATATAAAATTGTATTTATTTAGAAATAGTTATATAACACACATCTGAAAATTTCTGAGAACAAATTTAAATAAAAAATACTTTTTAAAAGGAGTTGTGGGTATGGCTGAGCAGTAGAGTGTCTTTCTAGAAACTACCACTGAGAGGCTGAGGGCACGGCTTAGGGATGAGGTTCCTGCCAAGAACCCAGTGAGGGGTGGGAGGTGTGGCTCAGTGGTAGAGTCCCTGCCTAGAATGTGGGGGGCTCTGGGTTCCATTCTTACCATTACAAAAAGCAAAAATGAAACTACATATGAGGATATGTGTAGGTCATAGGAAAATACCACACCATTAACATTTGTTATTGTGTGTGTGTGTGTGTGTGTGTGTGTGCGTGTGTGTGTGTGTGTGTGTGTGTGTGTGTTTTGTATGTATACCATGTGAATGCAGAAGCCTGGAGGCCAGAAAAGGGCATTGGGCTCCCTGGAATTAAAGTTTAGTTGGGGAAGCCACCTAGTGTGGGTTCTGGAAACTGGACTCTGGCCCTCTGCAAGTTCTCTTAACCACTGAGCCATTTCTTCTTCATCCCCCAAAGACACCATTTTATAGCACAGGCTTAAGGACTCCCCAGTTTGGTATCTGATAGGGGAGTGAATATTGGAAAAATCCCCTTTGGCTCCGAGGGATGAATGAACGTTTACCATTTTGGGTGTGGTGGCTTGAATGAGAACATCCCCCATAGCCTCATGTGTTTGGACACTTGGTCCTTGGTGGTACTGTTTGGGGAGACTTAGGAGGTGAAACTTTAATGGAGAAATTATGTCACTAGCTGTGAGCTTTGAGAATTTAAAGACTTATGAAATTTCTGGTTTTCACTCTCTGCTTTGTGCTTATGATTCAAGATGTGACCTTTTAGCCTCCAGCACCTGCCACCATGCCTGCTGCTCACTGCCATGTCTCCCAGTCATGCCAGAGACCCTCATTCCTCTGAAGTGTAAGCCTAAATAAACTATTTCTTCTGCAAGTTGATGCATGGTGTTTTATTACAGCAACGGAAAAGCAAACTAATATGGTTTGTTGCACTGTTGTAATTACAACTAGCTAACACAATCTTCCCATCAGGAAAGTAGTCACTGAAGGTAAATAAACACACAGGCATGGATGGCTGTGTGCCAGTAAAACTTTACTTACAACTTGGCCCTCAGATTGGAGTTTGTAACCCATTATTTGGAGGAATACCTGGTACATAGTGTAACTGAAAAAAAATCTTAGGATGTATGAAATAACAGGAGGAACTAAGAGCAGGAAATGTGATTCAAACAGGAAAGCCAAAGAATCTTTGCTTCTGGTCTGTTTTTTGGGTTCCTTAGATGTGTGATCATTTTGTGCACAAAACCCAAGAGGTACAAAGTGGGTGGTCCCCATGGAAATGGGGGCTACAGGATTTTTGCAGAAGTATAGCTAGACCAAATGTACAGGGTGGGTGGGGGTAGGGCTTGGCTCACCCATGCAAGCAGTGGCTGTGGCATCTGGTGTATACCCAGCTTGGCAGTCACAGTGGAAGGAACCAATGCTATTGATGCACTCGCCATGGTGGCACAGGTCAGCAAACATGTGGCATTCATCCACATCTAGGGACAAGCAGGGCAGGGCAGACGTTGGCTGGCTGTCTTGTTCTCCTAAAGCACACCTTTTCTACCCACAATTTCTTTCTCCAGAGGCAAGTTCAGTCTTCCTTTCCTTTACTCTGACCACATGGATGCCACCCTCAGGTTATGGGTCAGTTCTGAGCCAGTAGGACTCACTGATAGAACCTCATTCCACTGATTGCACACACACACACACACACACACTCATACACAGATACACATACACACACATGCACACATTAAACACATATACACAGATACACACACACACACACACTCATATGAAGTAGTCACGCCATTGTAGCACAGCCACATAACTTTAACATGACCTCAAGGACACTTACCTTGGCCCTCGGTGCTATAGCCCTTGCCATGGGGGCACAGCTCCCTGTAGGCAGAGGTGCCAGGCAAGGGACAGAGCTCACAATGGGGGCCCCAGCCCCGGCCGCCCCCGCAGCAGCACATGACTTTGGGCACAGCCTCACCACTGCTTGACCGATTCTGGCACGTGGCCTGTAGCACCTCAGAGAAACAGAGCCCCCGGCGTATATCTGCAGAGAATTGGTAGGAGGGTAGGCAGAAAAACTGCTTTGTTCAGGACCCCTTTCTCTGCAGTGCCTGGCAGCCAGGCCCATGTGTGTAGGGGGCATCTTCCTATTGGCACTGGACACTGTAAGACAACCTCAAATGAGGGTGAGGCAACACCCATTTGCCTCAATGGACTGGGGCAAATATACCCAAATATCAGTGTTAGCTTTGGGATAGGTTATGAAGGCTGGGTGGCCTCTGTGGAGGGCAGTGTCTTTGGCCACAGTGAAAAGGGACCATTAAGAGGCATCACGGAGGCAGGGGAACAGGGCAGGGAGAGTTGATGCTTGAGACAGAACCACAGGGACAGAGGAGAAAAATATCAGGGCTGGTGAGATGACTCACTTGCTGCCAACCCCGATGGCCTGAGTTTGATCCCTAGGACCCACAAGGTGGAAAGAAAGAACAAACCTCCACACAAGTACCACGGGACACTTGTGTACAATGGTCCCCACACCCTCAACACTAATAACAAAGTGTAATTAAATAGAATGAAAAATAACATCAGAGATAGGTGGGAAGTGAGGGTTAAATACAGATTGGAAATCTGGTGGTCTCTCCAAAAAGCCAGTTCAGGGTATCCCAACGGCTGAGATGGGGCTTGGGAACAAAGATGCTGAGTTGGCTTTGGGGTAAGCTATAGTGTTGGGGGTTGGGAATGGGGCATCTAGGAGGTGCATCCCATCTGGCCTGGAGCTAAGGGATGGACATTATCCATGGAGAGGAGAGAAGAGGATGTGGACAGGAAGGGCAGGTGCCTAACATAGAAGGTGCTCTTGAGGTCATCTGCTGGGTTCAGGGCTTAGGCTGTTGTGGGAAACCCAAGGGGAGCTCATTCTGGGGTGAGGCCTCTAGGGTTAGAGGAGTCATGGAAGTGGATGGGAAAGAGGAGGAAGCTCTTCTACAGAGTGTGTGCAGGTTCATGCATCTATATTGATAACTGTACAGCAATTCCCTTCATGCCTCTTCCGTGTTCCTGACCTTATCCCCACCACAGACCTCCCAAGTCTCTGTCCTCCTTACTTGTTCCTAGTTACACTCACCGTTGCACTCGGTGAGTGCAGGGCTGGGATGGAAACCCTCATCACAATTACACTGGAAGCTTCCCACTGTGTTGACGCAGTGGCCATGGGCACACAGGCTGGACTGGAGCTGGCATTCGTCCTCATCTGAGATGGGAGGGATGAAGCAGGCCAGAGGGGGGAAGCCAAGGCCCCCAAGCCAATTGCCCTTGAAAGGCCCCCCTTTGCTGTGAACTCTCCCCTCCACGTAGCTTCCCCTGTGCCCTGGAAGCACCACGTACCTGTGCATTCCTCCCCAGAGGGCTGGGGCTGCATACCAGGCGGGCAGATGCAGGCATAGGTGCCGATGAGGTTTTTGCACAGCATGCCTCGGATGTGGCAATCCTGAGACCCATCTGCACACTCGTCCACATCTTGAGATGAACAGGGATAGTGGGTAAGTCAAGGCCATGCCTTCCACAGCTTGGCTCCAGATGGGAGGAGCCTAGATCCCATCACCTAGCGGTCATGACGGGTCAAGGTGTACCCCAAAAGCTCATGTGTTACAAATTCAATTCCCAGTTTTCTGGTGGTGGTATTTAGAGCGGGGGTCTTTGGGAGGTGATAGGATTAGATGAGCTCATGAGGATGGGGCTCCCATGATGGTATCAGTGGTGTTATAAGAGCAAACCTGATTTAGCACCTTGATCTGTCTTGTTTTGTGATGCTTTGTGCCATGCTGTGATGCCACTTGGAAACCCTCCCCACTAGTAGTCAGGAGACTCCTGGACATTCTAGCTACCAGAACCATGAACCAAATATATTGTTATTTGTGTGTGTGTATGTGTGTGCTATATACAAACACACTCATAGGTGCGCATATCCATGCACATGCTCAGAGGGAGGAGAAGGCTGTCACACACCCTCTTCTGACACACCCTGCCTTATTTCCTCTAGATGGTCTTACTGAACCTAGCAGCCAGCAAGCCCCATGAATTCTTCTGTCTCTACAGAGCTGGGGTTAAAGGTCTTCATGTGGCCACACCCAGATTTTGAGGTGGGTGCTTAGTCTGAATTCAGGTCCTCAATGCTAGTACAGCAAGTGCTTTTAGTTATCTATCCATATTTCAGTTCTTTATCAATAACCCAGTCTATAGCAATCAGTTATAGCAAAAAGCTACTACTTCTCCAAAAAGCAAAACCACTTCTCCTCTAAAACCAAGCCCTACTTCATGCCCTAGTAGGCATGTCTGCTGTGTGAGCTTCCTTGCTGCTCACTTCTATCCTCTGGGGCTCAGTACCATTTAAAGACAGAAAACAGAAGTGCTGAGAACACATCTGGATCTGCTCAAAGTCAGGACCAGTTTTGGTGTAATGTTCCTACACAATGGGGCTCATAAGATCATTGGCGGGTAATCAGAGAGCCCTACCCATTGCCAGTCTGTGCAGACCCTACCTTGGCACATGGCACCATCCTTCCTCAGTGTGTAGCCAGCTGGGCAGGTGCATAAGTAGGAGCCCTCAGTGTTGTGGCAGCGGAAAGCACAGAGCAGTGGATTCAGGGTGCACTCATCAATGTCTGTGGAGGCCAGCAGAGGTTTCATCTGTGCAGGCTCTCTATGAGGGTACCCCTGGTGCCTCCTATGGATTAGCCCTAGAGAGTCCCTGTTAAATAGCTCTGATCCTGCTCAGGAAGCATCATACCTTCACAGGTCAGCATGGGGCCAAGCTCAAAGCCATCAGTGCCTGTGCATTTGAAACTTCCAATGACATTGGTGCAAATGCCTTCCCCACAGGGCTCTCCAATGGAGCATTCATTTGTGTCTGGTTGGAGGTAAGTGACGGGGACATCATCCCGTGAAGAGAGCTCCTTACCCTCAACACTGCTGTGTGTTTGCCTTTGACTGACAAAGGTTTGTCAGGTCAAGACTTGTGGCACCTCCAGGCTGTCTGTGGGTATATGTTCAAAGAATGAATAGTTAGAGTGAATGAAAGAATGAACAAGAGAGCATATGAATGAGCAAAGGATTTGGGGAACACGTGTGTGAATGAGTGAGTAAGAGAATGAATGAACAAGGGGGACAAATCAATTCATGAATGATGAAGAGAGCTGGTGAATGAATGAGTAAGGGAGTCAACCAATGATAAAATGAATTAATGAGTGAATGAATTAGTGAGTGTATGAGTGACTAAATGGGCAAGGGATGAATGAGAGAGTAAGAATAAACAAATTAGTTTATGAGCAAGTAGATGAACAAGTGAATGAATGAGTTATTGGGTGCACTGGAGAATGAATGAGGTAATGATTAGTAAGGGGAGAATATAGAGGGATGAATTAATGATTAGTTGGAAGAATAAATGAATGCACGAGAAACAAACAACTGAATGAGCAAGGGAATGAGTGAACAAGAGATGAATGAATGAATGAGCAAGGAGAAGGTAAGGGAAGAATGAACCAATGGAGTCTGAACGAGTGAGTGAACAAATGAATGAATGAGTAAGGGGGATGAGTGAATGATAAACAGAGGAACCAGTCAATGAATGAGTGGACTAATTGAAAATGAGAAGAAACGATCAAGTAAATGAGTGACCAAATGAATGAATAATTAAGCAGACAGGTGAATCAACTCCAATGCTAGTGAATGAATGAACAATAGTGAATAAGTGAATGAATGAATGCATGAAAAAGTGAAGGAGAGTAATGGAAAGGGAGGAGGTATGCTTAGCTTTCATGTTAACACACCTGGGGAGAGAGCCTTAGTGAGGTATTGTTTACATTGGGTTGGCCTGTGGGTGTGTCCAGGGAGATTGTTTTAATGAATTGATGTGGGAAGACCCCACCCACTGTGGACGGCTTCATTGCCCAGACATGGGGTCCTGAACTGTGCAAGAGCTGAGCACCAGAAATTAAGTGAGCAAGCATGCATTAATTTCTCCTTGCTCTTGACCTTGGATGCCATGTGACTAGTTGAAGCTCCTGCCTTGATTTCCCCACTATGATGGACTATACTTTTGAGGTGAAATAACCCCCCTCCCCCCTAAGTTGCTTTTCTTTTGTTTGAGACAAGGTTTCTTTGTGTAGCCCTGGCTGTCCTGAAACTCACTCTGTAGACCAAGTTGGCCTCACACTCAGAGATCTGCCCGCCTCTGCCTCCCGAGTGCTGGGATTAAAGGTGTGGGCTGTCACCACCACCATCCTGGCCCCTAAGTTGCTTTTTGTCAGGATATTTTATCACAGCAACAAGAACTAAAGGAGAACGAGGAAAATGACCGTGGTTGGGGAAGGGCTCCTTAGGTACGCACCAATGCAGGTGAAGCTGGCAAAGTCCAGGCTGTAGCCAAAGGGACATTTGCAATGGAAGGAGCCATCAGCGTTGACACAGAGGCCTTCAGTGCAGATGCCAGGGTTTTCTGCACACTCATTCATGTCTGCAGGGTTGAGACACAGTGCCTGTCCACCTGTCACTGAGTAGGCTCCAGGGCGACTTGTAGAATCTGAAGCTTGAGAATCCATGCATGCAGAGTTGAGACAGGAGGAAGGGGTCCTGGAACCCAGAAGAAGGCCTTACCTTTCCTGGAGTCATCTGGGCCTGGGATAGCCCCATGACTAAAGGGACAGAGCTCCTCAAAAGTAACTGGGAAGAAAATGGGATTAGAAAAGTCAGGCTCAGCACAACAGTCCCCACTACCTAAGACAGACGAGGGAAGAATGGAGGAGAGAGGAAGTGCAATGGGACAGACTCACCACTGTCCTTCTGAGGACACAGTTGACAGGGGTCACCCCAACCCTCTGCAGGGTTCTTGCTGCAGCAGCACTGGGTCTTTGTGGTGTTGAAAGCTTTGGGTGTTGAACATTTTCCCGCCTCAAACTGGGTGAAGCAAAAACTCTGGCGAGTGTCTGTGGAGAGGGAGGTGGGGATGTTAGTAAAGTGATTGACTGCCAGCAGCTGCACTTGACTGGCCTTCATCCCGACCTTAGCGAATGGGCCCCCTGGTCCTACTAGCACCCAATGAAAACATGCCATGCACCTGGCTGTAGCAAGCTGCTTGGGAATGAACCTGTGATGCACTCTGGGCCAATGAGAATGAGGTGGGAATCCTTTCCAGCAGTGTTTCAACGCCCCCCTCTCTCTCTCTCTCTCTCTCTCTGTGTGTGTGTGTGTGTGTGTGTGTGTGTGTGTGTGTTGCTGACAAACTTTCAATGTAGTCCTCGTGCCAGGAAGAATAGCCAAACTCCACCCATCACTTTTGAATCAGAGGTGTCTTCTTAGAGTGATAAAGATAATTGCAGAGAGCTGGAAGACCTGATATGGCAGACCCTCAGTCTCCAGCCTGTCAGCCTGAGTTCTTACAGGCAGGCTGGGGGAAGACTCACCACTGGGCACTATGTTCCCTGAACAGTTGACACTGGCTAAACTGAACTGTAGGCTCTGCAGCAGGCATTTGTTTGTATCTCTCACAACACTCACCAACACAATAGTGTTCATTGTCAGAGAGGACAAAACCAGATGGGCAGAGGCACTGGAAGGTCCCAGGACTGTTGGTACAGGTGCCAAAAAAGCAGAGGCTGGGATCCTGCAAGCACTCATCAATATCTGCAGAGGCAGGGATTTGAGCTGAGATGGGGCAACATGCATCTCCAGCAAAGCAGGCAGGGTTTACCGCTCCAACATACATGTTGTAAACGTGGAAGCAGGGTGGGGAACCTGTGGTGTGACCACCGCTATTCAGGTCCTCAATGCTAGTACAGCAAGTGCTTTTAGTTATCTATCCATATTTCAGTTCTTTATCAATAACCCAGTCTATAGCAATCAGTTATAGCAAAAAGCTACTACTTCTCCAAAAAGCAAAACCACTTCTCCTCTAAAACCAAGCCCTACTTCATGCCCTAGTAGGCATGTCTGCTGTGTGAGCTTCCTTGCTGCTCACTTCTATCCTCTGGGGCTCAGTACCATTTAAAGACAGAAAACAGAAGTGCTGAGAACACATCTGGATCTGCTCAAAGTCAGGACCAGTTTTGGTGTAATGTTCCTACACAATGGGGCTCATAAGATCATTGGCGGGTAATCAGAGAGCCCTACCCATTGCCAGTCTGTGCAGACCCTACCTTGGCACATGGCACCATCCTTCCTCAGTGTGTAGCCAGCTGGGCAGGTGCATAAGTAGGAGCCCTCAGTGTTGTGGCAGCGGAAAGCACAGAGCAGTGGATTCAGGGTGCACTCATCAATGTCTGTGGAGGCCAGCAGAGGTTTCATCTGTGCAGGCTCTCTATGAGGGTACCCCTGGTGCCTCCTATGGATTAGCCCTAGAGAGTCCCTGTTAAATAGCTCTGATCCTGCTCAGGAAGCATCATACCTTCACAGGTCAGCATGGGGCCAAGCTCAAAGCCATCAGTGCCTGTGCATTTGAAACTTCCAATGACATTGGTGCAAATGCCTTCCCCACAGGGCTCTCCAATGGAGCATTCATTTGTGTCTGGTTGGAGGTAAGTGACGGGGACATCATCCCGTGAAGAGAGCTCCTTACCCTCAACACTGCTGTGTGTTTGCCTTTGACTGACAAAGGTTTGTCAGGTCAAGACTTGTGGCACCTCCAGGCTGTCTGTGGGTATATGTTCAAAGAATGAATAGTTAGAGTGAATGAAAGAATGAACAAGAGAGCATATGAATGAGCAAAGGATTTGGGGAACACGTGTGTGAATGAGTGAGTAAGAGAATGAATGAACAAGGGGGACAAATCAATTCATGAATGATGAAGAGAGCTGGTGAATGAATGAGTAAGGGAGTCAACCAATGATAAAATGAATTAATGAGTGAATGAATTAGTGAGTGTATGAGTGACTAAATGGGCAAGGGATGAATGAGAGAGTAAGAATAAACAAATTAGTTTATGAGCAAGTAGATGAACAAGTGAATGAATGAGTTATTGGGTGCACTGGAGAATGAATGAGGTAATGATTAGTAAGGGGAGAATATAGAGGGATGAATTAATGATTAGTTGGAAGAATAAATGAATGCACGAGAAACAAACAACTGAATGAGCAAGGGAATGAGTGAACAAGAGATGAATGAATGAATGAGCAAGGAGAAGGTAAGGGAAGAATGAACCAATGGAGTCTGAACGAGTGAGTGAACAAATGAATGAATGAGTAAGGGGGATGAGTGAATGATAAACAGAGGAACCAGTCAATGAATGAGTGGACTAATTGAAAATGAGAAGAAACGATCAAGTAAATGAGTGACCAAATGAATGAATAATTAAGCAGACAGGTGAATCAACTCCAATGCTAGTGAATGAATGAACAATAGTGAATAAGTGAATGAATGAATGCATGAAAAAGTGAAGGAGAGTAATGGAAAGGGAGGAGGTATGCTTAGCTTTCATGTTAACACACCTGGGGAGAGAGCCTTAGTGAGGTATTGTTTACATTGGGTTGGCCTGTGGGTGTGTCCAGGGAGATTGTTTTAATGAATTGATGTGGGAAGACCCCACCCACTGTGGACGGCTTCATTGCCCAGACATGGGGTCCTGAACTGTGCAAGAGCTGAGCACCAGAAATTAAGTGAGCAAGCATGCATTAATTTCTCCTTGCTCTTGACCTTGGATGCCATGTGACTAGTTGAAGCTCCTGCCTTGATTTCCCCACTATGATGGACTATACTTTTGAGGTGAAATAACCCCCCTCCCCCCTAAGTTGCTTTTCTTTTGTTTGAGACAAGGTTTCTTTGTGTAGCCCTGGCTGTCCTGAAACTCACTCTGTAGACCAAGTTGGCCTCACACTCAGAGATCTGCCCGCCTCTGCCTCCCGAGTGCTGGGATTAAAGGTGTGGGCTGTCACCACCACCATCCTGGCCCCTAAGTTGCTTTTTGTCAGGATATTTTATCACAGCAACAAGAACTAAAGGAGAACGAGGAAAATGACCGTGGTTGGGGAAGGGCTCCTTAGGTACGCACCAATGCAGGTGAAGCTGGCAAAGTCCAGGCTGTAGCCAAAGGGACATTTGCAATGGAAGGAGCCATCAGCGTTGACACAGAGGCCTTCAGTGCAGATGCCAGGGTTTTCTGCACACTCATTCATGTCTGCAGGGTTGAGACACAGTGCCTGTCCACCTGTCACTGAGTAGGCTCCAGGGCGACTTGTAGAATCTGAAGCTTGAGAATCCATGCATGCAGAGTTGAGACAGGAGGAAGGGGTCCTGGAACCCAGAAGAAGGCCTTACCTTTCCTGGAGTCATCTGGGCCTGGGATAGCCCCATGACTAAAGGGACAGAGCTCCTCAAAAGTAACTGGGAAGAAAATGGGATTAGAAAAGTCAGGCTCAGCACAACAGTCCCCACTACCTAAGACAGACGAGGGAAGAATGGAGGAGAGAGGAAGTGCAATGGGACAGACTCACCACTGTCCTTCTGAGGACACAGTTGACAGGGGTCACCCCAACCCTCTGCAGGGTTCTTGCTGCAGCAGCACTGGGTCTTTGTGGTGTTGAAAGCTTTGGGTGTTGAACATTTTCCCGCCTCAAACTGGGTGAAGCAAAAACTCTGGCGAGTGTCTGTGGAGAGGGAGGTGGGGATGTTAGTAAAGTGATTGACTGCCAGCAGCTGCACTTGACTGGCCTTCATCCCGACCTTAGCGAATGGGCCCCCTGGTCCTACTAGCACCCAATGAAAACATGCCATGCACCTGGCTGTAGCAAGCTGCTTGGGAATGAACCTGTGATGCACTCTGGGCCAATGAGAATGAGGTGGGAATCCTTTCCAGCAGTGTTTCAACGCCCCCCTCTCTCTCTCTCTCTCTCTCTCTGTGTGTGTGTGTGTGTGTGTGTGTGTGTGTGTGTGTTGCTGACAAACTTTCAATGTAGTCCTCGTGCCAGGAAGAATAGCCAAACTCCACCCATCACTTTTGAATCAGAGGTGTCTTCTTAGAGTGATAAAGATAATTGCAGAGAGCTGGAAGACCTGATATGGCAGACCCTCAGTCTCCAGCCTGTCAGCCTGAGTTCTTACAGGCAGGCTGGGGTATGACTCACCACTGGGCACTATGTTCCCTGAACAGTTGACACTGGCTAAACTGAACTGTAGGCTCTGCAGCAGGCATTTGTTTGTATCTCTCACAACACTCACCAACACAATAGTGTTCATTGTCAGAGAGGACAAAACCAGATGGGCAGAGGCACTGGAAGGTCCCAGGACTGTTGGTACAGGTGCCAAAAAAGCAGAGGCTGGGATCCTGCAAGCACTCATCAATATCTGCAGAGGCAGGGATTTGAGCTGAGATGGGGCAACATGCATCTCCAGCAAAGCAGGCAGGGTTTACCGCTCCAACATACATGTTGTAAACGTGGAAGCAGGGTGGGGAACCTGTGGTGTGACCACCGCTAGGTGGGCAGTGTGTGTGTGTGTGTGTGTGTGTGTGTGTGTGTGTGTGTGTTTGTGTGTGTGTGTGTATGTGTGCAGGTCTTTCTCAGGTGTCTTCAGAGTAGGGTCATGGTCATCTTCTACATGTATTTCTATGTTTTTAAAGTGTGTGTGTTTGTGTGTGTGCACATGTGGACATGGGAATGTACCTGTGAGTGCAGGTCTATACAATGAGACTAACCTGGTGAGCTAGGATCAAGTTAGACTAATTAGTCTAAAGTGTATGAAATGATTCTTGTGGGTGAGAATTCGATGGAGTCTCTGAAGTACAATGACACTCCAAACCAAGAATATTTTACATGGTTCACAAAGAACTCCCGGGGCCCTGAGAGAACAGCCTAAGCCAGGAGCCTTAGGACAGTTCTAATAAACATGGGGCTGTGTTTGGTGCTGTGCTGTGGGCATCTACACTCTCATAGGATGTTGGACACTCACCAATGCAATGGCCGCTCTGCACCCGGAAGCCAGGGGGGCAGATGCACTGGAAGGAGCCTTCCAAGTTCTGACAGGTGCCAGGCAGGCAGGTCCCTGGGAGGCTCAGACACTCATTGATATCTGTGGAGGAGCAAAAGGGGAATCCAATGCCAGAGAGGAGGCTGAGTGCTCCCTGAGGTATGGCCAACACCTGCAGTTTACGTGGGGGACAAGCCCTTCCACGGACAGTTTTGGGTCCAAGAGAAAAGCTGGGGCTCTGGAACACAGAGGCAGCAGAAGAAGGAAGGGTTATTTGTTCTTGATGGGTTTATGGACCTGGAGGGATGCAGGTAGCAAGATTTATGGGCCACTTGTAGGTCCCCCCAAGATTTCCATACCATTCATTCAGTACATCTGCCATTAGTTATTTCATAAATTTCCCATTTGCAAGACAGCCTCACCCTGAACTATAGTCAGCTCTTTTTTATACCTTAAAATAAATAAGATGGATGAGTAAGGAGCTCACGAAGTCCCACCCCCACCTTGAAGAGCTGTTGGCAACTGCTAGCTGCTGCAGGAGGGTGTCAATTTTCGTCCAGGATTTGACCCTGATAGGCTGCCTGAGCTCTAGTAGGTGACCCCACACCCACCCACATATAGGCAACAGTGAGTGGCTTCAGTGTGCTTAACAAAGAGCACATGGAGCTGGGAGGGCAAGTAGCGGTGGAATATGGGAGGAGGTGGAGGGTAGGGCGCTGGGGGTGGATTTGATCAAAACTCTTTGGCATGCATGAAATTCTCAATTTAAGAAGCGCATAGATGTAAACTGGAGCTATACTCAGTCAAAAGCAGCAACTGCGTGTATATGAGGAGCAGACTCACTGAGATGGGCACTGGTGCCGAGGGACTCACCCATGCAGTCCTTCCTGCCAGCTGTGAGCTCAAAGCCATCTTGGCAGAGGCAGTGGAAGGAACCGGCTGTGTTGAGGCACTGGCCAAACTGACACACTTGTCCCACCAAGATGGTGCATTCATCAATGTCTGCCGAGGGGATGGAAGGTCACCATGGGTCCCAAGGGGATCGAACCTCCCTTGTATTTCTGTACACAACTAAATTAACAGGCTTACTTTGATTTATTAAGGACTCATGAAGAGACTCTATAGCTTACCTTGTGAGGTAGGTGCCAATATTTTCTAATATACAACTATGCAATGCTATAAATTTATCACTAAGTACTCAACTGACTGCATCCCACACATTTAGATTTATGCCTTCACTCCTATTTAATTAAAATATCTTTTATCTTTAATTTATTATTTTATTTTTTGATTTATTATATTTATTTATTTTAAATTTAATTTACTAAATTTTATTTAATTAAAATATTTTTATTTTTTAAGGAATTTTTAATTTTTATTTATGTGTCTATGTATGAGCCTGCATGAGTTTATGTGAAACACATGTGTGTTGGTATTTATGGAGGCAAGAAGAGGGTATTGGATCCCCTAGCACTGGAGTTACAGATGGTTGAGTCACTATGCAGGAGCTGGGGACTGAACTCAGGTCTGAACTCAGAGGAACACATGCTCTTCACCTGTGACCCCTCGCATTCTCAGCCCCATGGCATGCATTTTTAAGCTCTGTGTTTTGGATTGCCTATGTCTTTATGATTATGTCTTCTCAGAGAGATGAACCTGCTCAACATACAGGCCATGTCTCAGTCTTCAAAACAGTTTTGAGCATGCTAGGCAAGTTCTCTTCAGCTCAGTGCCCCTCTGTCTCTGATAATATTTCTGTGGAAGAAACTATATAGTCTGATATTTGTGCTTGGAGGTAATATTGTTTCCAGATAAGGGAGATGGAGGCACAGAGGATTAAATGGCTTGTCTAGTGATGCAACCAGTTATATCTACCCCCATGCTTCAGGCTTGCATTAGTCACATTCTGCCTACATGATTTCATTCCACCAAAGCCATTTCCAACTTCTAGGCCCAAACTGCCTGCAATCCTCTCTTCTGCCCCTACCTTCTCTATCTACATCAGACATAGAACTAAAGAAGTGCAGATGCCCTGCTGTGGGATAGTCCTCTCAGTACACTATAAAGATTCGTCACTCAAATTGGTCTAATAAAATGATGATAGCCCAGTAGCTAGCCAGGTGGGGCCACTAAACTAAGGATGATGGGAAGGAGAAAGGCAGAGTCAGGAGATGCCAGCCAGATGCAGGGGGAACAGGGATGAACATGACATGCTAATAAAGGTACTGCCACATGGCAGAGAATAAATAAGGAATATGGGTCAACTTAACAAGTAAGAGCTAGTTAGTAATAAACCTGAGCTATTGACCGAGCATTTACAATTAGTATAAGCTTCAGAGTGGTTATTTGGGACCAGGTGGTCAGGACAGGAAATGCCCATCTACAATGCCCAGATCTCATTGCAAAAAATACCACCAATATGAAAAAAAAATCAAGCCATTATCTTTTCTCCAAAATGCACCAGTCCTGTAGAAATGTTTACCCATGATAATTAGACTAATCTCAGGACACAGAATTTAAGAGATCAATCATAAATTTCATCAAAGAATTCAGGGGTTTAGAAAAGACACAGAGAAACAGCCTCATGATTTAAGGAAAAAGAATGTAAGGAGCATAAACATGTGAGAATGAAGAAGAAAACACAAATATAAGGCTGATGGAGATGATGAAGATAACACAGGACTTGAGAATGGAATTCAATATGAAGACGGAAACACTGAAGAGAACTCAAGCTGAAATAAAGATGAAATTGAAAAACTCAATAACAACTAGAAAACTTAAAGAAAAGTCTTACATGTAAAATGAATCAAGCAGAAGGCAGAATATCAGGTCTCAAAGATAAAACAGAGGATCTACTCCACTCTTTGGCTATGCCCATGACATCATACTCCCCAGATACTTGCTCAACCATGTTCGCTGTGGTTCTGTGCATAATAAGCTAGGGAACTGAAATAACCTAAACGTCTTTCTTCTGATGAATAGATAATGAAAATATGGTACATACGCACAATGGGATACTATTCATATGTAAAGAAAGATGGAATCATGAACTTACAGGTAAAATGAATGGAACTAGAAAAGATCCTACTCAGTGAGGTAACCCAAACCCAGAAGCACAAACATTTCATGTTCTCTCTCATTGGAGACTCTTAGCTCCAAATCTTTAGATGTGGGTACATGTTCTGGAGTAACTGAAGAAAGCAGGAAAGTAAAAGGGACCAATGCTGGGGTAGGGGAAGCACTAGAAGAGAAGAATAGCAGGGTACAAGTGATCAGCTCAGGGAAACGGGGAAAAGGGGACTCCGATTAGGAAGGGGAGTGAAAAATACATAAGGAGGGTAAAATAACAGTAAAGATACCTGAGAAAATAATAAGAAATCATACTATTAACTACATATCTAAAAAATCACTATACTACAAGTTTGTGTATAAGCATACTTATATAGTTTAAATAAATAAAATTGATAATCATCCCTCCAAGAGCTCAAGACCACCTAACAAAAGTCCCAGGACCAGACACAAGAAAGCCTTCTTTTGAGTTGTTTCGAGGGATGTCCAAGAGACTCACAAACCATTTTAGGCCTTTGCTGTAGTCCTTTGTTGCCTCCCCTGCCAGAGGTAGAAGATAAGTCCCTATTGCTGAAGACACCATGCATTTCAGACGCAGGGCCCAGACAATCCTGAGCTGGAGCTTACTTCAATGACCCCTCTCTGAAGACTAACTTTCATGGGATCAGAAGGTGCCATGAAAGCTTCCAAAGGAGGAAGCAACCAACTGTCCTACCCAGCTATGATGCCTATAATCCACAACAATGGCCAGCATGCACGATAACCCTAGGGGTGCAGTAATGGCACACATAGCCTGGTGGTAACCAACGGTTCTATAATTGGACCTAAGACTCATTCAACAAGAGGGAAATCAGGTCTTGTATTGGAAACCTAGTCAATAATTCAGTTTCAGTGAAGTCATGAATCTTGGAGGAGAACCTGTAACCACAACTTTACTAAAACAGCACAATCCCCAATATTTGTCTTTATACTCACTCACAGATAAGCGTAGTCTTTACCCTTCATCAAGGAAACTTCTCAATGCACGACATAGAGACCATTACAGAACAATACAACCAATCTAAATGCAGAGTTGTGGACCCAATGGATACCTCTACAATACAACTCAGGGAACATTGCAGAATAGGAGGCATAAAGACTGTAAGATCCAGGGGATCAAGGGGTCAGGGAATTTGCTGTGATATTGTATTTCCTAGTAATGTCCAAAGCTATACCCATAAACTCTCATCAATATGACTGCGTAAACATGAACTGAACAAAGACAAGACTAACAGCCACGCTAAAGTGGACAGGGTAAAGTCCAGGAGACCTCAACTACATACAAAGAACTACAGGCAACTGAGGAATGTTGAAAGTGGGAAAGTAATCAACGATGCCTATTTGACAAATGGGAAAACCCATGTGGAGGACAACGCAATCCCAGGATCTCAAGATCTCAGTGTTTGGGTTTAAATCTTGGAAGGGGTGTGAATTAGGATCGGTAAAAAGGACAATGAAGACCCCAGACAGAGGGTCTAACTGGAGATGCTCTCACCCAGGCCCATGGTTTGGTCAGTTGAGGCTTGGAAGCCATGGTGACAGAGACACATGTAGCTGTCCTCAGTATCCATACAATCACCATGACTATGGACATTTGGGATGTCTCAACACTTATTCCATCCTGAGGGGTGCAGGCAATGTGATGTCTCCAAGAACCCCACCTGATAATGTTTTGCCAAGATTTCCACATACAAAACATGTATGTAGCAGGAAGCAAGACTGTTTGGAGCCCCATTCAGTCTCCCTGCCCTTGTGCTGCTGACATCAGGCCCAGTCCCTATCACCTTTTAGTTTTACTCTGTGCTACTTATGGTTGCTCTCTGAGCTTGTCTTCCATTCCCCAACAGTGACAGCCTCATGCTATCTGAGCCACAGCAGGTGGCTTACCTCACTACCTTTTGCTTTGCTTAAGTCTAACCTGTCACCTTTCTGGGGACCCCACTCACCTACACAGGTCCAACTGAGTGACAGCTCGAATCCTCGGGCACACTTGCACCGATAACTTCCAGGGACATTGATGCAGTCTGGGTTCCTCTGGCAGAGCCCCTTTCCGTTGGCACACTTACCCACATCTGGGGAGTCCCATGAATAGGACAGGGTGAAATGAAAGCTTATCCTGGCGGAACCCCAACCCGATTTTGGCTCCACAAGCAACCAGAACTGGGTTAGGGTGATTATACTATATATAGACCCTTGGGAAGGTGTCAGTTCTGTTATACAGATGGGGAAACTGGGGCTTATGGAGTTTGTACATGGCTTGTTCAGACTGCAGAGACAGGGGAGGGAGGTAAGGAGGAAGGGGAGAGAGAGAGAGAGAGAGAGAGAGAGAGAGAGAGAGAGAGAGTCCTGGCTCTAGAGTTCAGGACTCTGTGTGCTGCACCTTCACAGGTCATAAAGTTTCTATTGTAGTTGAAGCCAATGGGGCATGTGCAGTGGACGCTTCCAATCTGATTGCTGCATTCACCGTGGGCACAGATGGCTGGACTCTCCCCACATTCATTGACATCCGGAGAGAGGGTAAGCCATAAGAGAGAGCCCAGTCTAGGGGACTTCCAGGTACTCTGGGCTTCCTCAAGTCTGGAAGAAGGTAAAGCCACAACATGTGGCCCCACAAACTGTGCCATGAGTGAAATGCATCTATTTATACCTCAGAGAGGTCAGGATGCGGCCGAGCAGGGGGATGGTTGGTACAGTGTGTGCCTTGACAACAGGAAGACCTGAGTTTAATTTCAGATCCCACATAAAACAACCAATGTGGCACATTTTATAATCCTAGCACTGGGGAGGCAGAGATAGGTAGACCCTGGGTCTTGCTAGCCAGCTATCAACCAGAAAACAGTAAACTTCAGGTTCAGGGAGAAACTTTGTCTCAAAAAATAAGGCAAAGTAATTGAAGAAGACATCCTGATGTCTGCCTCTGGCCTCCACCAGTGTAATGCACCAGCATACAGACCTATACAACACTAATGCATTCGTGTGTTAGGTGCTCGCACGTGCGTGTGCGCGTGTGCTCTCTCTCTCTCTCTCTCTCTCTCTCTCTCTCACACACACACACACACACACACACACACACACACACACTCACTCACACACACTGAACAAACTGAACAAGTTTATCTCTGGGATAGGGAGGTTATCTGAGAAGGGAAGTATGCTTGCCTAATGTGCAAAGCTCAGGATTCCATACTTTGAACCATAAAATGAAAAACCATCAAAAGGTGTTGGGGTGTGTTTCCCTAGTTGGTGGAGTACTTGTCTAGGATACAAAAAGCTCTGGGTTTGGTCCCCACCACCATACAAACTGGGTATGGTGGCACATATATAATCCTGGTGTTCAGGAGGTAGAGGGTGGAGGACTAGAAGTTCAAAGTTACATTGCAACCTCCAGGCCAACATCAGCTACAAGTGACCCTGTCCTTAAAAACAATCAAACAATCAAACAAACAAACAATCAAGTACAAGAAATCAACTAAACAAACAAAACTACAAATTGCATCCAAAAAACGAGACTTGGTGGTACTTACCTGTAACCCTAGCATTCAGGAAGCTGAGGCAAGGGGTTCACGAATCCAAGATCAGCCTGGGCTTATACCTATGATCCCAGCACTTGGAAAGTGGAGTCGAGAGGATTGTAGTTTGAGGCTAGCCTGAGCTACATGGTGGGGTCCGGACAAGTTTGAGCCTGGAGACTCTCTCCAAAAAAAATGATCCTCTCCCTATAACATTCCTCCCAACCCCCACATTCAAGGCTAAGGGAACCTTGTGAAAGAGGCCCAAAGTGTCTAAGAGCTGATGGATGGGGACCTGGCATGGCTGTTGCATACACAAACATACAGTATCTGTGGTTACTGGCACAAGATCAAGCTAGAGGGAATCCTTCAAAGCCCCTCCCTTAGTGGAGGAGGAGCTTTTGGCAGTAGGTGGTTTCTAAGTGAGGAAGAATCACTCTCCCTCAGGGACTTGGCTGTTGTCTCCACATCCCAGTGGATGGTCCCACACCCATGTGTAGCAGTGACTGGACACAGGGGCTTATTATAAACAATAAGAGGAAGACATGAAGCTGGGAGGGTGGCTGGGTAGGGAGGAGGCATGAGGGGAGTGGGAGGGAGGTAGTGGTGCATTGCCGGGATCAAAATACATTGTATAACTGTGTTAAAAATTCAAAGAATAAAAACATTTTAAAAGGATATATATATACATATACATATACATATAATATACATATATATATATATATATATATTTCACTGTAAGTAAATTAAAACTCAGAGGGTGGTGGTGGTGGTGAAATCCAATAAAGGAAAAGGGAAAAAGAAGTATCTGGGGACAGGATTGTTTAGGGTGCTGGAGGCACAGGAGTGACAAGGAGAGGAGGCAGAAAGGAAAGAGGCAGTGGGGAGGGAAGGACCAGGTGAAGGGAACTGAGGCTGATGGGAGAGTTTGGTGGTCACTCACGGAGAAGCTTTCCTGTGTGGATGTCAGTGATGAACCCTGGCACTTGGTTCCCACAGAGCAGCCGGTACTCAGCCAGGCAGAGAAAAACAGAACTCCAGACCACACCTTTGCCCACCCTGAGTGGTACACCTCCACACGCCCACAGCCCTGCCCTTGCCTGGCTACCCACCTTCCTTTACTCTGTGCTGACAAGCCCTCAGTTCAAGGCTGCCCCAGGACTGCTCAGGGTCACTCTCCAGAACACATATGGGAGACTTACTGCATGTTTTCTTTGGTGAACAGCACCAAGCACACCTATTGCCCTTCTTTAAGCATGGACCAGGGAGATGGCTTGGCTGGTAAAGTGCTTGCTTCTGAAGCATGAGGCTCTGACTTTAAATCACAGAGCCCACATACAAAGGCTGGATCAGTGGTGCACACTTTTATCTAAACCCAGCATCGGGGAGGAGGCGGGAAAATCTCTGGGTTTTGCTGGCCAGCCAGTCTAGCCTAAACAAATGAGGAGCTCTAAAACACTAAAGTGGAGAAATGACTGAAGAAGACACCCTGATGTCAACTTCTGGCTTCCACATGTACATGGACCAGTGAATACACTCACACCCATGAGTGCCTCCACATACCCCCCCATCATCTCCCACACCCACATCCACATGCTCAATGTTCAGTTACTACCTCAAGGCTTTCGCGCCAGCCCCCACCATCTCTGGAGGGAAGATACTTGCATTTAAGCCCCCAGCATTTTGTGTGATGGTTAGTTTTAATTATTTTAACTTGACAAAACCTAGATTAAGCTGGGAAGAAAGTCTCAGTAAGAGACTGCCTAGATCAAGTTGTCATGTGAGTGTGTCTCAGGGTGTTGTCTCCGTGTGGGAAGACCCAATCTGAAGCCAGGCTCCACAATGCGCTGGCTTGTGGTCCTGCACTATGTGGGTGGAGAAGGTGAGCTGAGCACTGAGCAGCCATGGTTTCTGGCTCCTAATGTGGATGTGATATGACAGCTGTTTCACGTTCCTGCTGTCGTCTCGACTTCCCTGTAATGGTGGGCTAAAACCTGAAGAGGTGAGCTGAAATAAGCTCCCTTAAGTTGCTTTTTGTCTGCATATTTTACTGCTAAAACAGAAATAAAATCAAGACAACTGGCATGACCCAGTGTGACCCAGTTCTTTAGGCTACCAGAGAAGAGGAGGCTCTTCCCTAGTGCTATCCTTTAAAGTATGTCCTCCAGAAGTTTCTATGTTAGAAATCTAAGCCCAAAGTTGGATGCTGATGATGCTTGGAGAAGGGGCTTAGGGGAAGCAAACAGGATCAGGAGGGTGGGGCCTCAAGGTGGCATAGCCTTCAAAGAAGAGAAAAGATGCACTAAGTGGCACACTTGTCCTGTCTCACACTGTGACACCCTCCACCATATTGGGATGAGCAAGATAGCCCTCCCAGGTGCTGGTGCCTTGCCACCGAGCTTCTAAGCCTTTAGAACTGTAAACTAAATAAACCTGTGTTTGGGTTGGAGATGTAGTTCAGTGGTACAGAGCTTGCCTCATGAATAAAGCCTTGGGTTCAATCCCTAACTTTAAG